TAGGCTATTGCTTTCTTCCCGATTGTTTGTCTAGGGTTAATCCCTGCTTCTCTGGGTGTTGGATTTTAATTATGCTTCCTTTTGGACTCCGCTGGGAATGCCAAGTTTCACAGATAGCTGGTCAAGCTATTGTTTCTGGGATCTTTGGTGCTCTCTGAGCTTGGTGGTTTCCTTGCAGATGTTTCATTACCCAACTAGGGAACACCATCAGTGGTAGAGGGAGTGCAGTTTGCTCTCAGAATATCCCCATATTTGCAAACAATGCTACTCTTCCATTTCTATCTCTGGGCATTTGTTCCCCTTTGCTTCCCAAGCCTGTTTTTATCTTGAGTTTCATATTGATTCTGTGTGTGTGTGTGTGTGTGTGTGTGTGTGTGTGTGTGTGTGTGTGTGTTCCAATGAATTCAAAGGAATAAATCTCTTGTCTTCAACCTCCCAGCTCCATTACTCAGATAGGCAGAAAGAGCAGTTATTAAGTTAATCACTGCAGTCGGTAGTTTAGTAACGGTTGTTAAGTGAATCTGGCTTCCGCATTGACTTTGCTTGTCGGAAGGTCGCAAAAGGGGGAATCACCTGACCCTGGGGACGCTGCGACCGTCATAAATACAAGTCAGTTGCCACTGACTGAGTTTTGATCCCATGACCACGGGATGCTGCAACGGTCGTTAAGTGTGAAAAGCTGGTCCTAAGTCCCTTTTTTTCCAGTGCCGTTGTAACTTCGAACGGTCACTATAGGAACTGTTGTAAGTCGAGGACTACTTGTATGTCCGTCCCCCTTCCTGCTGTCTCCCCAGCATAAAAGACGACATGATGCGGTTCCCTTAATCTTTGATATGTTTAAATTTCTCAGTTTTAAGACGATGGTCTCACATCTAAGGATAAACCAGGGGTCAGCAACTCACAGCAGCTCTGGAGCCACATGTGGCTCTTTCGTCCCCCTGCTGTGGCTCCCTGTCGGCTGAACCTTCCACTGGCTGGCCCCGCCCCTCACCCTCCCTTTCCAGTCACTCCTCGGCTGGCCTGAGAGAAATGAGAGACAGACGGAGAGGGGGGGTGGCAGAAGGAGAGAAACAGAAAGAGAGAGGCACACAGAGAGATACCAGTTTCCCACAGAAAACATTGAGAGCCACAAAACCTGGTTGGGCATGGCTGGGGGTGGGGGAAGGAGTGGGTGATGTCGATTGGGCCACACCCACCCAGGTTCTGTGGCTCCCGTGTTTTCTTTTCTCTGGGAAATTGGTGCAAATGGTTTTTTGAGTGTTTAAGGTTGCAGACCCCTGGGATAAACGAAGATAGACCCTGCCTAGCGGCGGGGCAGGGATTGAGGCACTGCTGTGAATTTCTGAAGCTTTTGTTCTAACGTGGGAAGGGGGACGAGCAAAGTCCAGGGTGAATAAGGAGTGTCCGCTGCCTCCCATCTCCCTCACCTTGGGACTTGTGAATGGATTGTGTGTACGTAACTCCATCCTTGATCCTTGTTCTCGGGGCAACGTTTGGTTAGGAGGATCACATGCCTGTCTTTATCTCTCTGGAATTTACTCCAGGCTGATCTAGATAAAAACCAGGACGTCCTCCGAACTTTCTTCCTTTCTTTCCAGCTGCACCTCGACTCCTCATGGCTTCCAACGAGAGTCCCGATGTCGTGTCCCAATCCATCGCCCAATCGACCACCGGCCCAGCGGCGGACGAAGCCGAACAGAAAGTAAATGAGGTATGGGGATATTTGGAGATTCCGAATGGAAAAGAGAAGAGAAGAGAGAACATAGGATAGAAAATGGGATAGAGACTAGGATATAAAATAGAATAGAAAGTAGGATAGAAAATAAAATAGGATATAAAATAGAATAGAAAGTAGGATAGAAAATAAAATATAGAATGCAAAATAGAATAGAAAATGGGATAGAAAGTAGGATAGAATATAGGATAGAATACAGGATAGATAATAGAATAGAAAATAGGATAGAAAATAAAATAAAATATAGGATAGAAAATAGGATAGAAAATAAAATAGAACATAGGATATAGAATAGAATAGAAAATAGGATAGAAAATAGAATAGAGGATAGAAAATAGAATAGAAAATAGAATAGAATATAGGATAGAAAATAGGACAGAAAATAGAATAGAAAGTAGGATAGAAAATAGAATATAGAATACAAAATAGAATAGAAAATGGGATAGAAAGTAGGATAGAATATAGGATAGAATACAGGATAGATAATATAATAGAAAATAGGATAGAAAATAAAATAAAATATAGGATAGAAAATAGGATAGAAAATAAAATAGAACATAGGATATAGAATAGAATAGAAAATAGGATAGAAAATAGAATAGAGGATAGATAATAGAATAGAAAATAGGATAGAAAATAAAATATAGGATAGAAAATAGGATAGAAAATAAAATAGAACATA